TTTACCCTTTTATTTTTTATTGAAATTAATCCTTTTTTTTCCTACTATGCATGTGTTCTTCACTAATAAATGGCATGCTAACGAGGTCAGCTTCATCATGCAAGCTCTAAATCGTAGAATCCAAAAACAAAACGAAAGCTTAAACTCTCAATTTTTTGGAGGTAATATATATTTCTAAGATAAGTAAGTTGTTGATCGTGGGATGCGGTGACTTCTTGGTTTAACAAGTTTTAGTTTGATAAAACGTCGGATTATATATATTGAACTTTTTAAAAGAATTTAAACAAAACATTATGATTCTTCTAAAATTGAACTTTCTTTTATTCTTATAAGTATTGAGAGATCACAACAGATAATTGTCAGAACAACTATATAATTGAACAAATCCTAACTTAATGGGAGAGAATAATAATTCGAAGAAGACTATGACGATGAGAAGAAGTGAATAATGATATGATTACTTGGTGTACAAGACATCTTCCCACGGGTGTCGGTACAGTGGCTGCTTCAATCTCTTCTGATCGAATGTGTGCCTGCAACAATTTATTCACGTTAATCCACATCAATTTAAATTGCTTCAAGAACAAGATGGATGTGTTCGGTTATGACAGTTACCCGATTAAACCAATGGATCGAGCAAGGACGAAGAGGCCGTTGAGATAACCTATCTGAACGATTTCGTCTATCTCTTGCTTAGTGAACATCCCACTTCCAGCGAGAAGGTCTAAGAAGAGAGATCCAATGGCTCCATCAACGTTCATTACAAGATTGTTGGCTTTAGACAGTGTGTATGTCTCTACTTGGACCGCATATTCCATGTACTTAACTGCAGGGAAGTTAGACCGTGCAAATTTCTGAAGCAGCTCCACTCTTTTGTCTCTGTTGTCCCTGCTCTTTATCCTACAAAAATTCCAATTAGATGTAAGAAAACAAACCCCGTACGAGTGTGTTCTGTTCCTGCTCTTACTAAAAAGGGATACTTGATTGTTATATAACGCCAATTTCTACATTTACATGTGAAAACAAACAATCGAAGTCTAAGCTGGTTTGTTATTACCTGTGACCAATGCCAGGGACACGGATTCCCTTCTTCTTCATGCCTTCCACGAATTCATAAGGTGTGAGATTCTGAAAAGGGCACAACATTTTCGTACCATTTATATCTAACTTTCAAGAAATGCTTGATGCAGTTGCAGTGAAGGAGAATATGATTTTTTACCCTGTCACAAGCGTCCTTGAAGTATCGTGCTGCATCATCAATGGCACCACCAAATCTAGGACCAATTGTTAATAGACCTGTTTGTTTGAAGGATTATCACTTATTATAAGCATAAGTTATTATTGTATAGCATACTTCGCTAAAAAGAATTGATGGATTGGGATGTTAATTCACCTGAAACAAGACTTGAGACAAGATCTTTTCCTGCTCTTGCTGTTACGATGGTGTTGTGAGCGCCAGAGACGCATGGACCGTGGTCAGCGCACAACATTATGCATATCTGATCAAAGTTCAAAGTGTCAGAAAACATATTCAATCTCACTAGCTAACAATGTTCAATATTTGAGTTAGTACAAGGAAAGATGAGCAACCTCAATGAATTTGGTACAATAACGAGGAAGACTACGTTTGAACCATAGGAGAGAAATGACATCTCCCACGCCATAACCCTGTTCAATGATGGATGACATTGGCACACCAGCATAGCATGGTTCCTCCCCTGAAAATTCAGTGTGTAGAGAATTTTGTTTACAAAAAATGTTCTTGTTAAAGAGAGAATTCTGGTTAGTTTCAGAAGAATAATACCTCTGTCATCAGAAATGGTGGAGATGATGTGGGTAGGAGCCCGGACTTTCCCACTCTTAATTGCCGAGCTGAGATCTTCAGGGATTTGTGGAGGAGTGACTTCCTTAATAGGAGAGACCTTTCCCTCTTCAACCTAGGAGGACAGGAGAAACATGAACATAAGATCACAACAAAAGGAAATGCAAGCTAAGAGCGCGTTTGATTGGAAACTGACCAATTTGTCAAAAGTTTCCTTGATTGCAGATTCTAGGGCTTCGAATGAAGTGGGTACAGTAGCTCCAGCGTCTTTTAGCGCTTGATTCTTGGCTTGTGCAGACTCCATCTCTCCACCACTTTTGGCCCCCTGATTCATATCATATCAAAGAATGATTAATATCGCAAGCAGATGAACATTAGCGTCCAAAAAAATTCTTTTTGTCAGTTCTGAGTGACACTTACTGCATGACCAAATTGTACTTCGGACTTGAAGAGACGTGCACAAGTCCCGCTGACCCAAGCAACCACTGGTTTGGTCACTTTTCCCTGTTTCATGGCTTCAACTAGAGAGTATTCATCTCTTCCTCCAAGCTCTCCAAGTACAACCACCATCTTAATCTGCAGTATTGAAAAAAAGAATACAAAACTTTGGAGTTAAAGACGCAAGCTGAACAAGAGAGGGAAGGTCAGATGCCTTTTCAGTATAGTTTTTCTCATGTTTAAACTGTAGAAAAAATGGATAGGCATGATGATATCCCAGTGAGCAACAAAATTGTAAAAGTCAAGAAGAATATATACCTGTGGGATGTTGTTAAACCGCAGGATATGGTCAGATAAAGTTGAGCCCGGGAACACATCCCCACCAATAGCAATGCCTATGTCCATCCCAAATCATAAACTCATCTTAAGAATCTTCAGAAATGATGAGCATGAGGAAACATATTCATTAGTAGATTCTGAACAAGAAAATAGAAACTCACCTTCATAGATCCCATCTGTCACACGGGCAATGGTATTGTACATTTCATTAGACATTCCACCCTATAATAAATAGAGAATGAGAAATAAATTTTCAGATTAAGATACAAAAGAGGATAATAATGCGCTTAAGTAGACTACAAAATGCAAAAAAAGAATCCACAGCACATACAGATTTTGAGACAAAGCCAACAGATCCAGGTCTGTACAACTTGCACTGGATGATATTGTCAATTGTTCCAGCAGTGTCACCAATTTTAAAGGCTCCAGCTTGAACGCCTCCAACAGTAGCTGGTCCAATAATAACCTGTAATCAGCAATCAGTAACAGAAGATTAACTCGGAAAGCTTACTAGTGATGATTCCAGGCCTCTGTGCTTTGAAGTTCTGTACTGTATGAAAAGATCGATAACTAGTGTGTTCCGAGGAATAATGCATCATGAGGAATAAGTCAGTTCAGTGTTATAGCCCACCTTATTGTTAGCACGAGCATAAGCAATCAACTGCTTAGTGTCTGACTCTGGAACACCTTCTGCTATTATGGCCACTACTTTAATAGTTGGCTGCTTCAAAGCAGCCATGGAGGAAGCAGCAGCACTAATACAAGAGAAGAACAAAACATTACAAAAGAAGCACAAAGAGAGACAGGAGAAATCACATTCACAGGATAGAAACTACACTAACCTTCTAAACGATGCGAAGTTGATGAATACATCTGCTGTGGGATGCGCAGCGCATGCTGCCTCAATGCTGCAAGAAACAGACAACTAAGTTAAATTTTTGAGCTTTGTCTTTCTCTCTATCTTTCTCTTTCTTTTATGAGATGGTATTTAACTTACGCTGCGTGGACAGGGATGGCGATCTCCTCCTGACCAAAAAATAGCTTTTGGAATCCCTCGGAACCTGGGTTAATGATACCAGCAACAGAAGGAGTTTCTCGCCCTGAAAAGAGTAAAGATAGTTAAAGAAACCAAATTTCTTACTTAACACCAAATATAACAGTCAAGTCAAGTAACTCTAGAGAAAAACTGATTACGACATTAAGATAGGGACAACAGAAGCTACTCTCACCACATAGGAAATCAAAATCAAGCATCCGCTGAATGGGAAGCTGCTTATAATTGTAGAACAACGCCTGTGTGTTGCGTGAAAATAGCTGTCCCGTAGCCATGTTATTGGCTCGAAAAGAAAACTGAGAATCAGAAAAAGGTGAAATTTTGAAGTCGTGAATAAAATATATTATTACATTCGAATCCAACATGAAAAAGCAAAACCTGAAACAAAAAGTTTTTCCCTTTTCATGCTAACAAAACTATAAAGTTGAATCAAACCATGATCGAGAACCAAATCAAAGAAGAAGCTATTATTTATTCCAGTGATTCCGGATTAAAAGAGAACGATTTGGGATCGAAACCAGGGACCCACTACTGTAAATCTCAACCACTGCATTACAGAATTCTATATTACTTAAAAGATCTCAGTCTTTTGTAGAAACGAAATCATATCACTATCGACTCATCACTATCCCTTTCTAGGCCCTAAAACCCAGACCGAATCGACAAGTTTTGTTTGAGATTAACCGGATCGGAATCGAAAGAAACACGGATCTGAGACTCGGGATCCTCCAATGAAAAGTTAGAGAAATAGGAAGACGAACCTGTGGTCACTGAGCAATGTTAGGTGGAGAGTAGATTGTTTTGTAGTTAGGAGGAAGGGAAGGGAATGGAATAAATGGGAGGGAAGAAACAAATAAGATCAGCTCAGCTACCACTGCCAGATTGAGAAGACACTAGTATTAAGGTGAAGTCACGTGGCCCGTGGTAGTTAGCTCCGGGATCTCCGATCCAATCCTTTTTTTTCCTTTTCTTTTGTTGTTGTTGTTGTAATTTCCATTTGAGTAAATGGAAAGATACAACTGTTAATAAAACAAACAAAAGTATGAAGATTGCTTTATGTTGGCTATATACATTAATATAAACTCAAGATAACAGCAAATGTTTATTATATTAATTTCATTTTTTATGTTTGCTAAGTATTACCAGAAATCATCTTCTAATAATTTTTTCATATTCTAAATTTTTACTTACATTAATTTTTGTTTTTTTTTATAAATATTTTACCATCGTTTCTAATTTTATTTATATTAAAGGCATCTCACATTTGGTGTGACCATAGCCACACGCATTAAAAAAAATTAATAATTACGTTATAAGACTTTAAATAGTAGAAAAAAAACTATCAATTAATCGTGTTAGGGTTTAAGGCGTTGTCGGTCACTCTCTAAAGTAAATCTCTTTGAGGTTTATGCAACTGTCAAGTGTCAAGACTCTCGCTTTATGGAATAGAGTCAAATTTGGATTAATTTCTTTTGAATGGATTCTACTGATGATGATTTCGGTGACTTGTACGTTGATGATGCCAAGGTTCAGGCCAGTGATGCTTCCGCCGACGATGTAGGATTCGTAAAATCGTGCAAAGAATCGGAATGTGCTACGAATTCCAGCGATTTTGAAGGGACGGTAAAACCTGATTTGGAAGGTGAAATGAAGAAATTTGATGTTGTTGCTAAGGATTCGAGTCCGTGTGACGACGATTGTGCTGTGAATCTGACTGAGGCCGATGAAGAATTGGAATTTAGTGACAGTGATAGTGATGATGATTTGAATATAGTGCTCAAAGACGACGATTCTAAACCCCTTCCTGCTGCTTGTGTCTTTAACACCAACTATGGCGGATCCAAAGCTTGCTCGTTTCAGAGACGGTGGACTAGAAACGCTTCAGCTAATAACGCTTGCATTGATCCGTCTTTAGGAATGTCTCAATATGGATATAGTTTCTCAAACCCTTGGTCCAGGTTAGTCACAGTGGTTATATCTCTAGTTTAGATAATAAATGTGTGTGTTTAGGTTTATTGAATGTGATTGACATGAACAATGGTTATTGAATGTGATATGTACAATGCTGTGTGTTTCTCTTATTCTCAGGACACCTTTTGACGTAAATTTCGATGTGTTTGAGAAGAAGCCATGGAGGAATCCTGGTATGGATACTACTGACTTCTTTAATTTTGGCTTGAACGAGCAAAGCTGGAAAGATTACTGTAAACCGTTGGTAAGTAAACATGTTTTCGTTCTTGTTTTCATATCCTTGTGGCAAGGGCGTAGTTGGTTTAATCTTAATGAATTACTTACCTATTCAACTAAAGGGAAGAGCAATTGAGGTTGGAGGTGGAACTCTTGAGCGAATACCTTCTGCAGATTTGCGTCGTCCACGTGATTCAGACCCTGGCGTGGTGATACAGGTCAGAGATTGAATGATACTTGATTTGTTAGTTTTTCCTTCTCGTATCTTCCATTGCTGATTAAATGTATGAAACCAGATCCTTGTTACTAATGATGTTGAGGAGCTATCAATCATGACACCTGAGAGAGCAAGGTGCATAACATCAAATGAAGCATCTAGAAGTGACGATTCTCATTCAAATGACAGGAATGATTTGAATTCAGTCGATGATTCTCCAAAAGATGAAGCTTTTGTGGGCTGTCAAGAAAAAAACGCTGCAAGTTTCAGTGGCGAGAAATCTCCTCCAACAGAGAATTGCTGCAGTAGGGAAGTGACACCTAGTGATAAGGAAATGCTCGAGGAGGAGAAAGAAGAGGGTTTTTGCAATTCTGATGAGACGGATCCATCCTCAGTGGAGAGGGAATCATCTCTTGGAGATCGCATTCGTTTGAGCCCTACCTCTTCTTGCTCTGCTGGTAAAAATGAGGAATCTGATGATTATGAAACAGAGTCATTGAAAGACAGTGCTACTGATGACCAACGTGAAGTCAGTACCCCACCACAACAAGCTAGACTTGCAGAACATGAAGCAATTAGTATCAAAAGAGGGGGAAATAGTGGCACAATGCATTCTAGACCCAGAAGATCTCACGAAGATTCAAGCAAAAGGCACTGTGGGAGAGCTGGCTATGCTGGCTATGTTAAGGATGCATCGCCTACACCAGATCCTGGTTGTGGCAAGAAAGTTCGTTCTCGACATGGAAGTTTGTATCGTGATTCAAACAAAAACTGGCAGAAGGGACCACGTGTTACATTAGAAAGGGATGAAACTGAAGGTAAAGGCGTTCATTACTATAGAGAGAATTGTCATGGTAGATTGTATTCATCTGTGGATCATGCTAAGCATAGAAAGCACAGGTTTGGTTGGCGCAACATCAAAGAATCATCACTGGGTCGAGGTTTTGATCATTCTAATAGTTACAAGTGTGGGGCGCATCCTAAAGAGTATACCTCACGTTCATCCTTCGATCTTAATCAGAGAAATTCTAGATCAAGTTTTAAAGAAGAGGATGATCGATATGGTTGGCATCATTGTGAAAGAAAATATGGTCATGAAAGAAGTCCTGTCCGCGCCTACGAAAACTACAAAGAAAGAAATGGGTGCAATTGGCTAAGAGAACCTTATTATGAGGACTGTATACCGATTACTGGCATGGATTATAGGTACCGGTCAGATTACACTTCTGCACATGCAATACACAACCTCAATCAGAGTCCAGAGAATGATATTTATTGCAGAAGAAGGGGTGGATACGATTCTAATTTGCATCGCCATAGATATGAAGATGTAGTTCACAGGGCAGAAAGTAGAATTCCATTTGAGCGGGCTTACAGAGAGGTGCGTTCTTTTGCTGAAGTGGAAATGAGAGAATATCAAGGGTATAAAAGGCATGAGGAATTCTCTGAAATAGAGAAAAGACGCCATTACACTCATGATTGGAATCTTGATAGATTTGTCTCAGAGAAAGATGATTGTAAGTATAGAACCCAAGATGATTGGTCCTCACCGTCTTTATCTTTGAGAGATTCTTGGTATACCAAAGAAGCAAAAGGTGATTTCTGGAGAGATGATGCTAGAGACTTTAGAACAGCTGAAGCATATGACAACCAGAATAACCAGTTTCATAAGGCTGCAACGAGAGATGGTCGGACGCAGAATCTTGGTCGTAGTGATAATGTGAGCATAAAAGATAGACTAAAGGATGATGATGATTGGGTTTGTCCTGATAGAGGAAGATATAATACGGCAGATGACATTCAATGTTCAATGAGAGAAGTTACTTATTCTGGGCATCCATCATATACTGATGAGATATTAGTCCGCGACCTAAGAATACCAACACATAATCGAATGGCTATCAAACAAAGGTCTGAATGTTTTAAGAGGCATATTCGTGAAAATGATGAGAGACATCACAAATCCAAGAAGCTGAGAGGAGATGGGCATTCTTTCATCAAGCGTCAGGATCCAGTTGACTTAGCTGGTAGGCAAGGAAAGGTAAAGATTGGGAAACTAAATCTACATGCTTTTAAACCTAAATATTTATGACGTATAAACGCCTTTCAGTTTTCCAGATTGAATTAGTTCTCACTTTCGTTCCACTTACATATATATGCCTGGCTTTTCTGTGTTATTTCTGAGTGTTTTATGTGGTCTGTCTTCTATACTTGAGATTTCTCTTTTGCTTTGATCTGTATATTTAGACATGAGTTAATGTACAATGATGAATGGCCCTTCCCATGTGATAGATATTTTTTTTGTGTGTTTCAGCGCTCAAACCAATCAAACAAAAGATTCTCCAATGGCGAGCAACAAGATCTTCAAAAACCAAGAAAGTTAGTGGGCAAAAGCGAAGAGAAAGCTATGCAGACTCGAGATATAAATGACAAAGAAGAAGGCGAGATCATAGAAGAAGCGACGAACGTGAAAGGTGTAGAAATAGACAATGAGCGTATACAAGAGAGCCTGAAGAAGATGGAGAAACGGAGGGAGAGGTTCAAGGGAACCAAAATGGCGAGGACGGTAGAAGCCACATTCAAATCTGAAACGGAAAGGAGAGCTAAAACCGATGTTACTAATCAACAGAGACCGGTTAGAAAGAGGAGATGGTGTGCAAGTTAGAAGATCATATTGGCTGGGCTGTTTCAGGTTAAGTCATAATAACGGTTTATTGATGGTATATGCTATATCTAAACCGATAAATTAAAGTGGATGTGTTTTAATCCGACAAAAGTCAGAAAACCGAACAATTGACTGTGACCTGGTGATCTTGCTTGTGCTTTTTGATCCCTTGTAAGTTTTAACTAGAAGATTTGACTTTAATATTTACAGTTTTGAGTATGTGTGTATTGTATTGAGAAATTAAAAGATGCAGCTAAGGATCGAACCGGTGACAATTAGGCGTTAAGCGTATGATTAACGTGATAACCATAGACCATATTAAAATTACTCTTGAGAATTTAGAATCATTTTTGTTGGGTCAAAAATTACATCAACTTTTTTGTTTTTGGGAATAATTTTCTACGGATATTGGTGAGGTGGACTCGTAGCCGTCGGATAAAACACGCGGCTGATCTGAAGCGTCGTCTCTGTGCAAAAGAGAAAAGGGAGCAGAGAATTCAAACCAGTTTCCATCGACGAAACGACCAATCTCCACGATTCCTCTCTTCTTTCTTCTAACTTCCAGGTTCGTTTTTTTCATCTCCAAATTCGAATTTTCAAGGTCCTTGGAATTCATATATGATTTTACTTTCAAGTCTCCGGATTTCTATAGAAAGATCTGATTGGAACATGATAAGTTGCTCCGTTTCACATATCCCCTTTTGTTCAATTTATTACAATTTGATCGATAATTGGGAAAGTACTGGATCTGGTGTATCGGTTGTTACTGGTTAAGCTATGTATGCACCCTTGTTATGTTTTCACATGCGTTGATTCTATATGTTAGATTCTGAATCTGGTCAATACGTAGTATTAGGGTTTCTTGAGTTGGCAAGTACTTGATCTTATGCCGTTTTGATTTTACCAACTTGAAATTGAATTATAGATTACGAATTTGTGACTTTGTCTAGTTTTTACTTGGTTTTCTGTATTGCTTGTTACTTACTGTTGATTTATGGTTTGCAGAGACAAGTTGTATTCGTCGTTTGCTGCAGAAAATAAGGTCAAATGGCGAAGATAAAACCTCAGGCTCTTCTAAATCAAAGCAAGAAGAAGAAGGGTCCAAGTCGCATAAGTATTTCCACTATTTTCGTCTGTAATCTTGTTGTTGCTGTAGTCATACTATCCTTGGTCACTACTTATCGCCATTGGTCCCAAAGGTTTGTTTCCATCTTTTAATTGTTCCTTTTTGTTACTTCTGTTACTATCTATAAACTTAATAGGATATTAATGGTTATATCCCAGGTCAAGAAACACAATTGAACATGAAACTCAGAGTCAGAGATTTGAGGTACTGTTTTGAGAGGCTTTTTCCAATGCATACGCTTTGAGTTTTGATCCTGATGAACTTCCGAGCACTTAGGTTTAGAGTTTAGGGTATTTACATATGCGATCTGGCTTTGCTTTGTGCTTCAGGACACAAATACTGCATCAGAGCAAAAAACTTACGACCTTCCTGGTTATGCTGTAAGTTAATCTCCCTGTTTGCTTAATAAAGTTTCTTGTTTTAATCCTTGTTCTATATTTCTTATCATGGTATTATGTTCTGTTCATCACTTTTTGAGAGTTAAAAAATGTCATGTGTCTTATCTGGATATCCATTTTAATGATATCTTGCTTCTATTTTCTTATCTCATGTAGGATATAAACACATCAAAAGGACTTATAACTGTCGAACTCTTCAAAGAAGGTTCCCCTGAAGTTGTGGACAAGTTTCTAGATCTATGGTTAGTATCGGAATTCTTTTGTTATCCTTTAAGTTAGATAGAAAAAGAAAAGTAGAGGAACATGATTGAGCCAGGTCATGACTTGTTCTTAAGTAGGAGTGTTACTTCTACCTTGATAGGATTCTAGTAACTTCAGTTTCTCCATTGATTGATTTTGATCCTTAAGTCTTGTTGTACTTTCTTGGAGATTGTGTTTGGAACATGAAACCTCATAAAAGAGAAAAGGGCTGAAACACTATGTGACGATATTGTAGCTTAATATGATAGTAGAAGTTAAACATTGAGTATTGTTGCAGTCAAAAAGATCACTTCAAGGGAATGCCGTTTCATCGGGTTATAAAGAACTACTTGGTACAAGCTGGTCACTCACCGAGCTCTATACCTGTAGAAGAATGGACAGCTAAAGGAAAGCTCCGAGGTCGCCTTCACATAGGGTAACTTTTTTGCTCTGCTTTTGGCTTGTAAGTGTAAATGTTTATCATCTCTCATTGGTTTTAAAAAAAAAAATATCTATGTTCTGTTATTCAGCCCAAAACATGAGGCATTCATGTTGGGAACACCAAAAAACAAAGGGAACAACAAGGATTTTGAGCTTCTAATCACAACGGCGCCAATCCCGGATCTGAATGATCAGCTTATAGTGTTTGGAAGAGTCCTAAAGGGAGAGGATGTAGTACAGGTTTGATCCAACTAAACAGTCTCTTATCAGCTTTAATGGTTTTGTTTCATGTGTCAACGATTACATCATGTTATTACAGGAGATCGAAGAAGTGGATACGGATGAGCATTACCAACCGAAATCGCCAATAGGGATCACTGGTGTTGTACTGAAACGAGGGATATGAAATGAAAATCTCTCTTCCTTCGTTGCTTCCTCTGTAAATGAGGCTCACGCCAAATCTTTCTTCATACTCACTGTTTGTATAAACCCTCTTTTGAGGTTTTTTTTTCTCTTTCTATTTTACAGTTTCTTGTTGTTTTGTAATTTTTTTGATTTTTCTCGAGGAAATAGAATCTTTGTTTAATTATGCTTCTCATACTTAAGAAAATACATGAATTAATTGGATCTTCTGTTATGAAAACTTTTAAAATAGACCTCGTAAACGCTCACAAGATAACAAAAAGTCAGGTCTTTTGACTTTTTAAATAAACGTATTAATAATATTTATATGAGGAAAATTTGGAAAACAATCTGAAAAGTGAAAACCAAAAGCAAATCCCTTAAGAATTCTTATAAACATTACAAAATTCTTTTAAAAACTCTTAAAAAATTCCTAAACAATTCTTAAGGAATACTTAAATTATTCATAGAATACAATTAAAAAATACTGTATTTTTATTTTATGAAATATCTAATAATTTGGAATAAGATATAGGACATACATCAAATTATGTATTTTAATACTATTTGACTGAAACTAAAAAAATTTATAAACACATTTATAAATATGTTAAATAGTTGGTGTACTTTAATGTATTTTTCTCTAAAAACAAATATCCAAATTGAAGGCAAAATCTAAAAAAAAAAATCCAATTAATACTTTAAAATTGCATATCGTAACATGCATTGCATCATTAACAATTTTGAAGAGTAGGAAATTTTGTTATAATCTATTGTTTTTGAAAAGATAAAATCTTCATAATAATATTTTGCAACCGAAAGTTACAAACCATCGATCATCAAGAGGAAGATACAATCAATAAACTTGTACCAACCATCTGCTACATCTCTACCATATAAATCTATAACGACTAATACATGCAAAATGAAAGTTCCAAATCGGTCTAGTTGATTCCTCGTTTGCATAATTGCTAATTATCCTTAGAGAGAAACATGAGAGAAGACGAAGCCTGCATATGATTAATGTTACTTTGAATCCCACACCTTGTTTCTTGAATCTTAGCTTCAAATTCTTTGAGCTCCTCAAGAGTAAGCTCCTCAATGGGCTTATTAAACCTATCTTGTTGAGCAGATTCAAGCCACTTGTGAAGATCTTCTCCATGTTTCTTCTCAGCTTCAGCTTCTTCGATGATCGAGTTGAGGCGTTTACATATCTTCTTCTCTTGTCTAGCTCTCTTGCCTCTACTATAGCCTGATGTTTCACAGCTATCTGCTTCTTCTTCTTCTTCGAATTCATTCTTAAACCGTTCTGCAATCAAATCAAAATTCGGTTTCCCGAAGGAATAAGGTTTGTTTCCTGGAGAAAAGACAACAATACCAACCTCGGCGTTGCACAGCGTCGCAAGCTCACTCGCTTTCTTGAACAAACCCAGCCTACGCTTCGAGAAGGTAACTTGCTTTGTGTTTGTGTCTTGCACTTTCTCCATCTTAATCTTTCTCCTACCCATTTTTTTGTGTGAAATGTTTTGAGTGATTGTAATCTATGTTTGTATATCTTAGAAGAAGATTGATTTTTCCATGTATTTCTTTATGTATTTATAGTAATGAATGTGGAGAAAGTTGTCATTGAACCTCATCATCATATATGTGTAAATTTAGTAAATTTTTGTCTTTGCATATATACATATTTAGTAACACCACTTTGAAAATCTTGCATTACCTTATGAGAGCATTGAATAGTTTCTATGTATTTAATCAATATCCATAGATATTTAACTATTATTAGTATTATCTTACTATTGGACCTCTTATTAAATGGTAGTTTGAATTACAAGGAGAAATTTATCAAGTTAATAAAAAAAATTTCTTCTTTACCAAAATATTTTATTTCCACCCAAAAACAATAAAAGTAGTTTGACAAATAATAAACACATATTTTCTTTAAAAAAATTAACTTCTATGTATTAATGTAATAATCTTATGTGTCATATTATATTTTCAAAAAATAGTATTATTTCTGGGTATAATTAATTATAAACGTCTTTATATATTTAAAAATTAAACAATTATTTATATTCAATTAAAATAAAATTGTGGGTTACCATCTGCATTGGGTTTAACCCAATAAGCCTCTTTTATAGGTATAATTAAATCGAAGCTCTATAAGGTCTAATTCGTCCATGGCGGTCTAAGTCTACATGCATCTCCGAACACCTAATAAACCATTGACGTCCGTAAAAGACTAAAAAGTAAAAACTAAGGTTACGTTTGCGGTTTAATATAAACCGAAACAAAACCAAAATAGTATCAAAACGAAACAAATAGCAATCTCAATCCGGTTCAACGTTTTCCTAGCCATGTTTACTTTATAGTCGACACTCAGTGACACTTTACAATGTCTAGAAAGTTCAATATTTACGTTGTACTTACCAGACAACAACAACACTTCAAAACACTAAATGTCCATAAGGCATCAAAGATTTGAAGAGACCAAACAACAGTTTCCTATTATAAGACAACGCAAAAGTGGATTTTCAAATATTTCATAAGTCACAAATCGCCCTTCCGAGCAAAAAAAAACGAGTCTTTCTAAGGCTTATATGTAAAACCCAAAATGCTCACTAATAATCAAAATTAGCTTTGCAATATCAGCAACTCAGCTGACGCATGTAAAGAGTAAAGGTTTTATGTGGACAGTGGACACCAAGTTTTCGTCATTAATCCTCAGTGGCTCTTTCTAGTTCTGCTCACGTTAGAGCTCTGATCGGTAAGGAACTTGAGGACATCAATTAGGGATCTTAGCCGGTCCCAAATGTTGAGTCCGTAAAGAGTTTCGACTAGTGCCTCCTGGAATTCAAATGCGTTTTCTGCTACCGGGTACTGTGATATGACCACCACAGAGAGATGTTAGGACATTAAGATATTCAGATTGGATTTTCAATGTCTGTAATTGTTTAGAAAACTTGCCTGAATAGGTTTTGGAATCTTGGTCTTGATGAGTGGCCAAAATCTATCTTCAACCACCGATTTCACAAGACAGCATGCTCTTAAACCTTCTATACCAGCAAACCGTCCAAACCCACTATCCTTTACACCTCCAAACGGGAGCGACTGCAAATTCAAAAGAGAAAAAAAAAAGTCTTACTCTTAATCATGGAAATGATGGCTAACCCTTTTTTTTTTTTTCTCTTTTCCAAAGGTAACATCCTAGAGTAAAGCCAGTGAGGAGTACCTGGCACATGTAATTTGAGGCAAAGTCATTGATTGCAGCGACACCGCACTGAATTTGAGAAGCTATTTGTTTGGCGCGATGCTTGCTTCCAGAGAAAACAGCACAGCCTAGCGCATAACGTGAATCATTTGCCAGCTTTATGACCTCTTCATCGGTGCTGAATTGCATGATTGGCATTATTGGTCCAAAAGCCTGATTCTCACACATTAATAAATATCTTAAAAACTCATGTGTAGTATTGTCTTATGCAACAACAAGCAGCAACAGAAGCCAGACGAGCCAATGAAGGTAAGGTTACATACCTCTTCTTTCATTATTTTCATGTTGTGGTTTACATTGATGAGAACAGTTGGAGGGAAATATTGATCGACTGCATCTTCGCCCAGATGACCAAAGCTGCCACGGACTGCAATTTCTGCTCCTTTGTCTAAGGCGTCATTTACAAGGCTCTGTAGGTGTTCAGAGTGCTCTTGCAAACATATAGCACCCATGTCATACCTCCCGGTTAGAGGAGGACCCTAGTGTAAAAAAAAAAGATTTTAATAAGAACATAGGAGAAAATTTGAGAAAGAGAAGACTAACCAAGAGAATTTTGTTTTTTTTCAAACTTCCACAGCATCACATATGACAAAATCAGTTAACCTCCTATATGGCTTACATATACTAGGAAATATAGGAATAGGATTGAAGGGTGGTGAAAACAAGAGAATAGCTACTATGCCTGTTACTAATGAAGACGCTGGAGTGAAAGATGACAAACAAATCAGAAAACAAACATGAATTAGGGATTGCCTGAATTTCATGTTTGTATTAGGGATCAAACTAAATGGCATGCGAATTGTGAGCTACAGAGCACTTACAGCAGAAACTGACTTCACAATCTTGGTTACTTGGCTAATGAATGCAGTATAAATGTCTTTGTGAACATAAAATCTTTCAGCACCCGCACAGTTTTGCCCGCTGGACTGAAGAGTGCCCCTTACAGCCACTTGAGAAACCTAAATTGTACAATACAGGCATTAGTTTGATCAAAGGAACGCCTCTTTTTCCAATAATAAATCATAAGAACACAGAAGAGAGCACAACGATTACATGTGAGACATCTGCGTCTTCACATATGATAAATGCATCTTTTCCACCAAGCTCAAGTGTGACAGGTGTCAATGTCTCGGCTGCATTTCTCATTATCTGCAACATATTGCATAAGTACAATTCATAGTGAACTGGATGAGAATGACGAACCAAGTGTGAAGACTGTACCATTTTGCCAACAGCTGTGGATCCAACAAATATCATTTTATCAACAGATGAGACAAGTGCTTCTCCGGTCTCCGCAAACCTGAAAAGAATGCGTTAATTGAGGAAATCAATTTTATAACAGCATGCTAAGGAGAATTGCATAAATAAAATATACAGACCCTGTTATCACATCGACTAGATTTTCAGGTGCTCCAACAGCAGCTAAAGCTGCCTGGATTATGCGGAAGTAAAAGCATCCTGACCAGCTAGCGTGTTCTGAAACCTGTAGAGAAGGTGTTCCAACAATCAGAAACATATACAAAATCTCAAGAAGATATATGCCTTGAAGAAGACTAAACAACTTCCTCTCAATGGTCGCACTGCTCACAATGTTGACATCATATAAACAGCTAAACTTATTCAGAGATAAAACCAAAAGTGTCAGCGAATATAGTAATAGAAAAAAAAGACATTGCAGTTATACCTTAATAACAATGCCATTCCCCGAGAAGACTGCAGCCAGCATAGGATTGAAAATATTGTGGAAGGGATAATTCCATGGGACTATAGCTCCAATGACACCAAGGGGATGGAACTCTACTCTTGATACTTTATGAAGCATAGCTCTTCCTGAAGAACTGCGGACAAATAAGATTTGAATTGAAATCATCTCTATGTAAGAATCAAAGAGAACTACAATTCATACTGATAATTATACATGATGGAATTACCGAGATTCAGGCTTTAACCATTGTTCGCCCTCAGAAAGAAGCCAAGTAATTTTCTCACAAGTAGTCATTATTTCTCCCAGGGACGCATCTACCATAGTCTTTCCGGTATCACGTGATGAGACTCTATATAACGGGAACATATCTTAGCATCATTTGAGAAAAATTTCCGGGGAAAACAAAACCTGTGTATCAAACCAGGCAGTTAACAGAAATGAATCCTTACTCGCATATAAGCTCTTGGTGTTCAATAATGTACTTGAGAAGAATCCGCAAGAACTGCCTTCTAAGCTTGAAGCTACTTTGAGCCCATGTCTTTTGAGCCTTCCTTGATAGTGTTACTCGCTCCTCAACCTGAAACACAAAAGTGTAAATCATATCTCAAGATAAGGTGGAATATCCTTGAGAGAAACCTTTGACTTTGAGTAAAGTAGCACCATTCCACAATTCCCTTCACAGCAAGGACATCAGCTACTAACCTCAGTAGGGGACAGAGCAGGGAAATATCCGAGATATTTCATTGTAGCAGGTTCATAGCATTGAACTTTTTTGTCTGACTGTTGGCTCCTGCCTCTCGGAGGAATCTAAAGCCAATGTCACAGAGAACTTATGATTCAGTATGCTAATTTCACTAGAACAGCTGATCAAACAATTAAGTATCTATCATAATAAATCAACCATAATGACAAATATGGAAATCAGAGTTAATTTTGTAGCACTCAGATAGATTATTAATGCCTAAGTCCTAAACCAAAACAACAGGAGAATATATAAGATCAACAGCTTAAATCTCCAACCACTTCAAAAATTTTAAGCACAATGTGGATGTAAATGAGAAAATGGTGCGATCTAAGAACTCACATAAATGAAGCTATTCTCCTCCGTATCTTTCCCATGAGCCAACACTGTTTCAAAAATTCATTCCAAAAATCAAACATCGATAAGCTTGTTCTACGGGACAAAGACATACGACGAATCTAGGAGCTGATACAGATAGAGAAGAAAATATACCATCGGATGCGTCTACGTCAATGGAAGGAACATTGGGAGGAATGAGCATAAGAAGGAACTTGCAGATCGCGTAAGCGAAGGCGAGAACGATCAGTGGCCACCAGAACGGCATTTCCACTTGTTCAGAGATTCTTCAGCTAGGGCTTTGAGAACGCCGATGAAGGATAAATCTCCGTCAATCGGAAAAATAGAAATAGGAATCAACGAAGAGCATATGGATTTAATATTCTCTGCTTTGAATCGCCATTTTTTGTTTTCAAGTCCACTGGAACTGTGAGAATGGTACGGGTCGTAATTT